TAGATATATATATATATATATATATATATATATATATATATATATATATAGTTCAAAATATGTATTAACGAAAACCTTATATATCTTATATATATATAAGATAGACGTTGTTGAACACTACTCCACGTTGCATTGAATTGGAAATAAATCTATAAATTTTAAAATGCTTTGAATAAATACGAATTCACTATTCTTCAAGCTAGCGAATTTTTTTCACCAAATTAATGAAGGCAATGCGGTGTATACGGACAATGCCTTACCGAAAACCTCGTTTCCAATTATATTATTAAAACAAAAAATAACACGTGATTTTATTTTTATTAAGATGATTATATTTTTTATTAAGTGACAAGGCAGAAATTTATAAAAATGACGGTGAAATTGTAAAAGTTTCTCAATAAATCCCAAAAAATATAAGGGCCAGCAAACGAAAAAAAAATTAATTATAGACCAACTGAACAATGTTCATTAGTAAAAATGATAAAAATAAAAACATTTTTTTATCAAAAAACACACATAAATGAAGAAATAATTGTCTATGATAATTAGAATTAAATAGAATTTATTGGAAAATAATATATAACATTCTAAAATATTCTACAAAGCGCGCCATCCCATGTAGAATGTATGCATCAAAAACAGATTAGTCCTTAATGATTCATTCAATTAATATTTTTATAACAATAAATGGCATATGATGACGATATTGCTGAATTAATGTGGTTATTATCAAATTGATCAGACTTAATTAATTTAATTAATGACAAATTTAGACTATTAAAAAACCATGTGGCAAAATTTTGAATGTGTTCATTATTATTTTTAAATGATAATCAAGTAAGTTTTTATGCAAATTAGAATATTTAGACAGTTTATGTTGTCATGAGTTAAAATTGTTCGATTCATGGCAGACCGTTAGTTTCAATATTTCAATCGTGTTTTCTCGGAGTAGTGATCTCATCACATCACAATCCATGTCAGCAAATACTGAAACTTCTAGCCCCACACATAACTTTAAATGGTCTACAATTATGTTCAAAATTCTTTTGTTTGGTGTAGTATATTGATTCAGTGCAGCCACTGAGTTGCAGTTGGACAGAACATGTTTATTGGTTTGCCTAGCATTTCAAAACGGTCAAAGGACAGTTGACGATTTTCCCCATCTGAATAGATTAGCGTTTGTAGGAAGCTGTTGAAGGAAGCTTTTCCTGGCGAATTTGAATAGAACCTCTAGAAGATTTGCGGTGAACTTTTACCAATGAACAATTTTGGTTGCGGGATAGTGGTCTTTAATCGGTTTCCAAACTGTTCCTAGGCAGCGGATATTCTAGTTTTACTTTTTTGCCGGATTATTAGCATTCTGAGAGCATGTCTATGGTATCTGAAAACAAGTTGTCAATCTGTATGTAGTTACCGTTTGACTCACTCCATAAACATTTTAGTTCATCATTGCTGTTTGACTTCAGGTAGTTTCAGAGTTTCACTCCTAGATTCGGCAAACTTTTTGAGTAATCTAACATTTAAGCTACCTGACTTATCGAGGAGCAACAGGCTGGCAATAAACAACTGCAAACTGGCAACGACGGCCATGTTTTTACTACTTTTGTGACCAAGAGATCCAAGTTTATTTCAATTTACGTCAGCAAAACTTCGATGGCGCAAAACTCAAACGCAAACTGTGATGACAAGTATTATCTTAAGATAAATTATTTAAGCTGTACCGTTGTTTTTATTTCAGTGTTCAGTGACAGCCAATAATATTTTTTTTGGTCTTGTCAACTTGAGGAATGTGTTTGTTGTCAATAGACAGCACCGGAAGAAACTGTTCGTAAACACAGTTTTGTTTTTTCATGCCAAATAAAAAACACTTGTCAATCTGCAAACTCATTCCAGTACCTTTGTACCATGCTATCGATTAATTTTGTGCACTCCCTGTGCTGATAGCAATAATCGCCGTGTCGTCTGAAAATTTTACCTATGCTCAGTTTTTAAATTAGCTGTAGAACCCCATAATATCCAAATTGTTGGAATTCAGTTTTTTCAACTACTTTCATTAGTGAGTTAAAAACTTTTGAGCATGCATTGCAATTAGTGTTTGATTGGAGTTTAATTTGGTTGTTTGGAGTTTAATTTGATACTGCAAAAACAAAGGTTGAAAAGAAGTGGAGACACGAATCTTCTTGAAGCACTCCATGATTGATTGGAATGTGCGGTGTTAGTTTGTCTGCCTCCGGAAACTCTTATAGAAAAAATGGAAACTCTTATGAAAACTAGTCAGTGTATATGTATTTAATTGAGTTGGGTATGTGGGTTGGGATATGATGGTAATCCAGAGTTGATGAATTGAGACTGTGATGGACCTCTCCAAATACGGGGATCAAAAAGGGTAACAATTTGAACCCTTTCTGAACATTTGTAATGATTAATGCGTTTTTTTTCCAAGAAGTTGTAGATTTCGTTGTTGATGAATTAAGAAAATATTTTGTATAGTGTTGGTTGCAAAGTCATGGGCCTGAAATTGATGGATCGTGAACGTCGCCTTTTTCATAAATACTTAAAGGCCTTCTCCGACAAGTTGGGATTTTTCCAGAATACCCAACATTATTGGTCATTTTTGGAATGAAAATCTTAAAATTGAATATTATAATAATAACACTAATAATATTAAATAGTAATAAAAATGTTAATACTTATTAAGCGCATACACAAATGAACACGTTGTTACGTTAAATACACTGTTAAAAAATCAATATGATGCAAACGAATTAGCATACTACAGTGTAGCTTCAAGTAAATATGAGTCTGAAGCAAGGTTTTAAAACAGTTGTATTTTTGTTTTCGATGAATGAAATATAAAGAATAAAACATTCAGATATAAATTTGTTACAAAGTATGATTGATGTGTTATTATTTAATCACTTAATATTATTAAAAAAAAGAATTGTAAAATATTTTTGAAATAAAAATTATATTTATTGCCTCAAAGAAAGAAAAAAATAAGAAAAATTTTTCATATTTTTTCTTTCTTTGAGGCAATAAATATAATCTTGATAAGAACTTCAAAACCACGTAGTTTTTTGAATTCGTATTTATTCAAAACATCCATGAAATTTGTCAACTGACAAGGGACAGCGCTGCTTCGGCTATTTAGCCATCATCGGAGCTGAATATTATTGTGAATAATATTAAAATGTTAAAATCATTGAAATGAGATAAATTAGGGAGATATAAAATAATATTAAGATGAAATTAAACTATATATTGAAGTTGATAATAATAGTGTAATAATGTAACGTACCTTTAAAATATGGTTAAACATATTTATAGTTAAATTTAAAAAAACTACGTAGTGTTGAAGTTCTTATCAAAAAACTTTTGAACGCAGAGTGGGCATACAAATTTAATGACATATATATATATATATATATATATATATACATATACATATTTGATGATATATATATATATATATATCTGTGTGTGTGTGTGTATATGTTTGTTGTAATTTATAGGACTGTCGAAGATACAGTTGTTAAAAAATATCACTGCATTTTCACTTTTGATCAGTTTTCGCTTCAATTTTTCGATATTATTATAATATTATTTAATATTATTAATGTTTTTAGTTTTATTATAATATTGAAAAATTGAACCAGAAACTGATCAAAGCTGAAAATGCAATAATATTTTTTAACAATTATATATATATATATATATATATATATATTTTATATATATATAAGCACACTATATATAAAATATTTTTTTAAACTCAACGGACGGAAACAAATTGAGAATTGAAAAACTAAAAATGCATATACTGCTATTATAACACTGAGCAAAACCAGTTTATCAACAAAGGGAAAATTAAGAAAAATCTGTTATATTTTCATCATTTCAGAGTTTATTTATAGAAACATGCAGGTGCAGGCAGCAGTCAACATACATGCGTACGTCACTTGAATGACGTCAGAAGCTGCTCTTCTCTTTACTACTCCTACGCAACAATACGTGAAATATGTTTTCTCTACTTATTCTTTTTGTTTTCATATTTTGTTGGTGTTATTATAATTACTGTCATAATTATAATTATGACAGTAATTATGACAGTAATTGTTATAATTACTATTATTATAAAATTGTTATTATTACTATTATTATTATTGTTGTTGTTGTAATTATTGTTTTCTTATTATTATTATTATTATTATTATTATTATTATTATTATTATTAATTGGCGATTAACTCATTCCTCGTGTTGAAATAAATGAGCGATCATTTTGTATAACTTGGCAGGATGTATGATTTTCATGGTGGCAACTCAAGATTAAAAGAAATGATGATTAAAAAGCTTAACAACTTGCTATCAGTCATAAACGAGTTGGACGCAGCGCCACAATGGAAGCTGCAAATATTGCGAAGGTTAGCTTTTGAGCTTCACACATATGATATTCCGCTGACATGGACTGGAGAAAGACTGGATACCTTGGTCGCGAAGGCAGTAAAAAACTGGCTGTCACTGCCATTCGGCAGGTGTGTATCCGAATGTTTATCACTCTCTTTTAATTGGGGGGGACTTGCAAATCAGATCACTAAATATTTTCGCAGAATTACTCAGAATTAAACTTTGCAGTTATATTAAAACTCCCCATGACGAAGACATCAACTGTTTATGGAGTGAATCCTACAACAGCTACATAAAGATTGACAAAATGCTTTTTCATTCAAAAGATGTAATATTGACAATCCATGCGTAAAAGACAACCAATAGGAAGCCAATTCCAACAATCTGTCACGGTTATCTTGCCAGGGGAAAGTCATTAAAGCAATAGAAGAACACATTCCCGCAAGCTAAGTTGCCCGTTTGTAAAAACTCACTGCCTGCCTTCCAGAGGTTTTACTCAAATTTTTAAGAAAATTCAACAACTTTCTAAAAATGCAAACCTATCCAGATGGGGTAAATTTATAAATCGTCATGACAAAATATTATCCTTGATTTTGAAAGATATCAGATTGTCTGTTAAACCGGAGGTGACAATTATCGCTGATACGAACAACAATGAATTTTTTCCAGAATCATCTGTCCAGATCACTCCGCCTTGATACTGCAACTGACGGTCTGCCACGAGTCAGACATCTCGAAATTATATTATCTAAATATTTACAGAATATAAATAACAACTGAATCACAGGAAAACAATTATTAAAACTTTTGAAATCTCCCCTTTAGGTTTCTTCAAACAATTTCATTTATAGCTTGTTAATTTTAATTAGTCGGATCAATTTACGATAATTTGATCAACTCGGCAATATTGTCGTCACATGCCAGTTAGGGTGACAGTAACTGCAGTTTAAACTGATTTATTTCCCCTAGTACTCATTTTTTAAAAATTTTATTAATGAAGAGCATTGTGGATTATCTTTATTTTATTTGCCATTTAATTATCATACATCGTGCTAATTACATTATTTGATTTATATATTTTGTATTGCCTTTTGATAGTAATAAAAAAATTTTCATTATTATTATTATTATTATTATAATTTGGAAATTTGTATAACGCCCATTTAAAATTAGAATGTTCTCACAAGCATGGGCACCTAACAACTAACAAACAGTTCAACAGACTTGAAGCAAGTGTGTTTAAAATCCTTCTTAAACTGAGTCAAAGACAAACTTGACTAACGCAAACACCAAATTTATACACAATGACACTGTTAAGGAATTTGAAGCATTTAAAATATGATCGTGTTCATAGGATATGTTATATTTCGTAACAGATTTGTCAATATAATACTGTAATACTGTAGAGCAATGTTATGTAGACGTTTAACTTTAAAAATTAAACCAGAAATTTAATAGATCTGTATATATATTTTGTGAACAAGTAGCCAATGCAAGCTGCTTAAGATTGGACTAACGTGATCATATTTACGGTCTCAAACAACTAATCATATTTACGGTCTCTAACAAATTTAGCAGCCCTGTTTTGAACTGACTGCATCAATGCCCCACGCAATAATAGACTTCAAATAATCTAAACGGTATGTATATCAGTTGAGATCATAGTCTTTGAATCTAACAGAATTTTGTTGTACGTCCACTTTATGTATTTAGGATGGATGCCTGTGTAAACTATGAGGTGTCATTTTTTGGACTGTATGATTCTTACATTTGTGGTGTAGCTTCTACTGGCGTGGGGCAATCTGTGTTGTCATCTACAGCTGGTGTGCACACAGGTAGATCCTCTTTGGTGTTTATGAGATCTCTACGGTTCCGTCTATATGATGAACCATCCTCTGTGTCAATATCTATGATCTTGGAACTTGATGTATAAAGGAAACAATACCACGCTTCCATCTCTTTCTATCTCTTTCCAAAAATTGTCTGGGTATATGATCATTTCTGTTTCATTATTTGCTGCAATGATTAAGTTATCTAATACAATGAAAACACCATCAATGTCTCCAAACATTTCAAAACTTCTTTTCTGAAACACCTCTGGAGCTGATGAAATTCCAAATGGAAGCCTGCAAAAAGAGGACCTTTTAAAAGGTGTATTGGAAGTTCAGAGGCGAAAAGGTATAAATCTTAATGATCCATCTTTTTTGACAATAAGTAAACTGTTTACCCAATCTGTTGGCTCTTTTTTTCTATTATTTAACTTTCTACCAAACTATCAAATTTTTGCTTTAGCTTTGGCTGTAATGCCAGTGGTACTCTTCTTGGTGGATGAATCACTGGTTGTTTTGATAGATCAACTGTGATGTGGTGCTCTTTTTGTAAACAACCAAAACCTTTGAATATATTGGCAGATTTCTCATGTATCTGTGCACACTGCACAGGTTGTTTTTTTCAGCAAAAGATTTTACCCAATCAGTTCTGTGCAAAAATTTCGATTCGCTGCATGTTGGCAGTCCTATTAACGTTGGTGCATTGCTACCATTAATATAAAATTTTAAATATTTTATTTTTCCATTGATTCTTGCTTGAATCACTGCTGATTTCAATGGCTGAAGATTCCCACTGCCATAAGGTTTGAGAACTGTGTTCATCTTTCTTAGCTTAGGTTCATTCGGAAGTTGTTGGAAGACTTCATTTGATATTACATTAACTTTCGCACCTGTGACTAATTTACATTTGACTTAAACACCGTTTAGTACTAGTTCTTTTCACCAAAAGTACAGCACACAAATGTAAGGCTATTCCTCCAATAACGAATACGTTCAAACCTTCCTCTACTGCATGATTTGATGATCGGGATGATAATGACGAAACTGTCATTATCTTAATTTATTTTGTTTGGTGATTTCGATGCTCTGCACACGCTACTAGAATGATTCTGTTAAGACATCAGTAGCACTGTTTGCTGTATGCTGGGCAATTGTTGGGAAGATGAGTTGTACTGCATCTTCCACAACTATTGTTGTTGTTTTTATTCATATTCTGATCCTTTTGCATGTCAAATTTAACAGAATTTATTGTGGGTGGTAACTTCTCACTTTCACATTTGATTGTTTTTAGTTGTTCGCGAGTAACCTCAAAGGCTCGGGTTTACTAAAGCGCTTTTATAAAAGACAGTTCTGGTTCTCTCAACAGTCCTTCTTGTAGACGCGCATCAGCGCAACCCTGTACAACTTAGTCGCAAATCATTGATTTTTCCTGATTGCCAAATTAACATGTTCACATAAAACTGATCATTGTGATAAACGAATCAACTGGCTCACCTGTGGCTTGTGAGGTTTTTGTAATTAACGCTGTCGACTGAGCCATGTAATGTTTTGTAAATATTTATTATTAAAAACGTTTATCAATAATCAAGCAACAACATTAAGCCAAGAGTAGTAAGTTTGTACCAAAACACATTTAAGTGTATAAGCGTCCAAAGATATTAATGTTCATATATATATATATATATATATATATATATATATATATATATATATATATATATATATATATATATGAACATTTTCATTTTTTTTTTAATTTTTCAGTCAGATTTTTTAGTTTATGAAAAGTGTAAGAACGAGTTGCTGTTTCATTTTCTTACTTTAAAAAACATAATAATTGTTTATGTTGTTTCTAGAAATATGTTACAACAGTTTAAAGATTAATTTTTTATCATCATACTTCTAAGCGAAACCTAGTTTATTATCATCGGTCTGTTCAGAAAAAATTTTTGTTATTTTGTGGTAAAAATGAAAAGCCGATCTTCGTATCATGGATTTAATTAAATAATATGTTGACCATTCTAATTCAACATCTTTTGCTATTTTTCTGGAAGTAGCATAATTCCACATTCATAAAATTTTTGGTCTTTGCTGGCAAAAACTGATCCAGGTGATTTTTGACGTGTTCATTTGAGGTAAAGGTTTTATCGTCCAAAAATTTTGGGAGTTACAGGAAAAATTATAATTCGAAGGAACCAGGTTTGGAGAATATGGTGTGGCCGTACATCCCATCTAATCTTTAAAAGCTTTTGGCAAGTGACCAAATTTTATGAGACCTTGCATTATCTTGGTGGAACACTACACCTTTTCTATTGAAGTGCATCATTTAGTTTGTCCAGCAGATGACAGTAGATTTCCAAATTAATTGATGTGTTATCCGGTAGAAGCTCAAAAAAGTTACTCTTTTAAAATCCCATCAAACCGACATCATTACCTTTTTCGAAGGATATCGGTTTTTGAAATGCTTTGAGTCGGCTCATCTTTTCTGTTCCATAATCTTTTTTTATTATTATTCTTTAAAAATCAGAATCTGACAGACGCAGAAACTGTTACAGCATGCAAGGTAGTAGTATAAAATTAAACGAATAAATAAATAAACGGAGAAAGAAAAATGTTTAAGCATGAAAAGTAAAATAAAATAGAATAAAATAAATAATAAAATGAATAAAAAAAATTAAATAAAATAATTGACAATAAAATGAAGTAATAGCATAAAAAGGCAAATTAATAGACTAATATATATATATAAATAATAGACTAATACATTTATATATATATATATAATATATTAGGATTTAGACCATATTCGATACAGTTTTCAAGAAACGTAATTGTATTAACGCGGTTGATTTTCTTGAAAACTGTATATATAATATATATGTATGTATGTAAGTATATATATATATTAACGCCAAACATTCGGTATAATTTATAGAATATTGTAAAATTTATGGTCTATTACCAACATTTACTCGAAGTTCTGCGACCAACCGACGCAATCTAACAATCGAACAAGATCGCGAGCAGCGACTGCTCCATCTCTCTCGAGAATTAGAAGTTAAAAGGAAGGTAGTTCTAGATTTGTCGAACTACAAACATATTAACGCCAAACATTCGGTAGAATTTATAGAATATTGTAAAAATTATGGTCTATTACCAACACACACACACACACACACACACACACACACACACACACATATATATATATATATATATATATAACCGAAAGGTCTTGTGATGAAGGTCTTTCCCTGATATGTAGTTTTGGTGGCGACTTGATAGTTATGCTTGCGTTGACGAAGATTATGTGTTGTAGTTTTAATTGGTGGTAGTAGAGGATGGATGACGTGGTTGTTGTTATTTTCTACTTTCTTGAACAGTCTTGAATTGAGTGTGTTGAATATTTGAGTGACAGTAAGATATGATGCAGATAGATAGTTGAAGCGGATTAGTTTTTTGATGAGAGATTGTAATTGCTGAAGTTGTTGTTGTGTAGCAAAACTAGACCAGGAAGGAGCTGCATATTTGATGCGTGAGGTTATGAGTGATTCAGTGATGTCGAATAATTTGATGCCTCTGAGACCATGTGAGCGGAGTGTTTTGAGTACGTGAAATGTTTAAGAGTCTTTTGTAATGATGTGATTGATATGAGGTGCTATATTAAGTTTGAAAGTGAATGTGATGCCTAGTATTTTTAATTGATTTGTGCGAGTGAGTGATGGGTGTTCTGGAGATAATGTTTATTTTCTTACGGCTATTGTGAATGATGAGTTCGAATGATCTCTTGAATTTGACATTGTTATATACAACCCATTTTATCGCGTCTTTATAAGCTTTAACCGACCTTCCAGAACGTGGTGCATCTTCCACGTCAAAATTGCCGGATCAACATTTTTAAAACCAGTTCTGACTCAGGTGTATTATCAACACATCTTCTCCATACACATCGGTAAATTTCTTTCTGGCTAGAACAGCATTTTTACCTTTCCTATAGTAAAAAAGGTAAATATGACGAAAATGCTGCTTATTGCTCTTCATATGGCTTGAAATGGCTTATAGTGGGTTAATTAGAAAGAGTCAGTCAAGGAGGAAGTTTAAAGAATTTATATCAATCCACATTAATTGTGTGGTTTGACAATAGAGAATAAATAAAAAATGAAAGATGAACAATCAAAAAGGTTATGACTTCATTCTTTCATTTTGTTAACTTTACAATTTCTCATTGATTGCGATATTAACTGCAAATTACCTGCGTAAGAAAAAATGATTTAGTACATCCGAGCCAACAAAATAACTCAATAAAATATAACGCATTATTTGTGTGGTTAATATATAAATAAATATAAATATAACTAAATACTGAACTTAAACGTAAGTTGTATATGCTTACATCAAGATAGCACTAAAAGACAACAAAAAGCAATCAAACAACAATGTCAATTTTCTGATCATGGAAAAATCTTTGTTAGGGATCATTAGGGATGCACCGGATTTAAAATTCAAAAACCGGCCGGAGCCGGGGCCGGATTTTAGTTACCATTTTACATACGTTAAAAAATACTCACATTTACGGTTATCTACATGTTGAACATCAGAAAATAACACCAAGCAAATAGTTAATTAATTCAAATATATAAATAAGTTGTGCGATATGCCAAATTCTGTACACAAAGATCAGCTTATAATTTATGCATAACCCGTGTTATAACATAAAGAAAATTGTCCAGCTCACCTCAAAATTAATGATGTTGTTATTATGTGTCATTTATGCACGTGCACAGCTCATAATTTATGCAAAACCCATGTTATAGCACAAAGAAAATTGTCCAGCTCACCTCACAATTAGTGATGTTGTAATTATGTGTCATGTATGCCTAGCCTAACCTTTAACATACCATGTTCTTAAGTTATGCGCTTATGTATCTATATATATATATATATATATATATATATATATTATGTAGCTATATGATCCATTATATACAATTATATAGATATACAATTATATAGTATATACACGTGCACAAGTTCTTTTACACAAAGATCAGCTCATAATTTATGCATAACCCATGTTATAGCATAAAGAAAATTATCCAGCTCCGGAAGCTGCAAATGCTTCCCACAGCATAACTGATGCAGGATGCTTCCCAGTTGGAATAAATATGTTCAGTTTTTTTCCAGTCTTTTTGCAAAAGCTAACTTTATTTGCATCATTACAGATTGAAATGTGAGTTTCATAAGTAAAGATGACTTTTCGAGGTTTTTAGCGAGGTTTGAAGCGAATTTGTAGTTGTGATTTATGTGGTTACATTAATTGGTAATAATTTAATGTTTCAGTTTAGTTGAGTGGCATCATTGTGCGCTCATTCGTTGAACCTTGTAGGGTCATGTGCGCAGAATGTCGTCCCTGGGTTTTATCTTTTTTTGGATTAACACTAGGTATCTAGACCTTCTTTTCAACCTTTGCTGGCTGATGGACTAAGATGACAAAAGCACCGTCGTTTTAAAAGAGCAGCTTATACAAGATGGTCTTCAAAAAGATGACAAAGCGCCGTCGTTTTAAAAGAGCAGCTTATACAAGATGGTCTTCTCACTATGATGCTTGCCATGCTTTTGCTGTGAACTACAAAAATATTTGCAATACACTTTGTCAAATTGCATCTAATATGTCTGAATTTCTGTTGACAAGACACGAAGCCAAATCGTTCTACAAAAATATGCAAGTGTTGGAAACTGGCTATATGTCCAAATGCTGCAGTCATTTATAAAAAAGCCGATAATTTTGTTAATCATTTCAAGGACGATCTTGGAGAGATCTTTCCAAATAAATTTTTGCAATTTGTTCACTTGAGAAAATTTTAGAAAAATTTGTTAGTTCTAAACCACTTTTTCTACAGTTGTTAAATCTTTTTACTAACTAAACATGGACTTCAATCAACATTCCCCAACGATGAAGTAGCTTCGCGCATTTATCTGTACCTCATTGTGCATCAACTGTAAAAGGGAGAGGTCATTCTCAATCATGTTATGGGTTAAGAGTAACCTGAGATGAACAATGGGCCAAACGCGATTGTCGTCATTATACATAATGGCAATGGAAAGTGACGTTGCCAAAATCAATTTCTTTTGACGATGTAACAGATTGTTTTGCTGTAGAAAAAGCTTGACGTTGTCCGATATAACTATTTCTGCAATTAAAAAAATTTAATATTTAAACTAATGTTCATCTTTATTTAAAAAATAAAAATTGATGTTCATTATGTTCATATACGTCTGCATAGCCTACGTCTAACAATTTTTTTCATAATATTGTTAGTGAATTCATGTAGCACCATTTTTATTGAATTCCATGAGCGCTGACCACGAAAACATAGTAAACCATTACATAACATAGAATCTTTTTTTTAGAAAAAAATCAAAATTGCAAAATAGCAAAAAAAAAGTGATGATCACATCAAATAAAAAATCAAGTCATAAAAAAACCGTCGCACAGCTTTTTTGAGTTTGGGTTGCTAAATAAAGTAGGTTGATAAATCGGAGAGTCAGTTTAGTGAGCCTCCAAATGCATTTCAGCTAGGGCCCATAGTAGTCTTAATCCGGCACTGGTATAACGCCCATTCAAGTCCTTATGAACGCTGTTCGTGTCACAAAGACCGGACTCTCCACTCCTCACGACGTACTCACACGTTATATATGCACGCGCAAGCACCGCATCATACACGCATGGTCTTTGAGTTTTGGACAGACAGCATTCAAACCATGCCATCGCGTAACTGCACGAGACATGATACTTCTACCGACTGATCTATCCACCGATCTGATATATATTTGTACGTGTGAACGAACAGCTCAATGTGGCTGTTTTTTAATACTAACACGTTAAAAATTTATTCATTTTATTTCTACTTAATGTTGCTAATATTTTTTATAATCATAATTCTTATTTTTCATGTGCTTGACAGAATTGGATTTACAGAATAAAAATAAAAGTTAAATTAAATTAAAAATTAAGGGCCTGTGGAGTGGAATAGGTTAAAAAAAGGTTAAAGGTCAATTAGACTCTTCCAAAATTCAGAGGATCCATCAGAACACACAAACATCGTAAATGAATACGTGCAAAACGACACATCACACACGAAGCATGTGATAGGCGGAGATCTTTTCGTCACATTCGAACCCGGTTACTGCGAAACAGCACCAGGCGACCTTAACCATTTGACCATCACCCCAATAATGAAAGAATACATTTGACATTTCGTACAAAGTATCTGGAACAAAATCTTTAAATGCTCCATAGAGATTTATAACAAATCGAGAGTCCAGTCTAAAAGAAAAAGTTATTGTTCAGTTTGTAAACAGATTTAATTTATTGTTTATGTTTATCTATTAAAAGTTTATTTATATTTTTAGATGTTAGTTAAATTACTGCACAAAAGATTTGTAATATTTTTAGTTTTTATTTAGGATATATTATTATTATTATACGTAGAGTTTATATAGCGCCCATTCAAGTTCTCATGAACGCTTTATCTCACAAGTGAGCTTTTATTCTTTTCAATTTCATTGGTTTTCAATTCTGTTGGTAAACTATTCCAAATCTTTGGACCGTACACCGCAAAACTTCTTGAAGCCTTCGATGACATTGCCCACGGTATCTGAAGATTATTGTTTTTGGAAAACCTTAGGACTCTACCCTCTTCGGTTTCCGGTGTTTTTTGACACAAATCAATCAAGTATTTCGGAGCCGCATCTCTGATACATCGCTTCACCGTCACCAAAACTTTAAATACGATTCTGCTTTCAATTGGTAGCCAATGTAACTCACGAAAAATTGGAATTACATGATCGTATTTTCTCCCTTGAACAATAAGCTTTGCTCCAGGGTTTTGTACTGACTTTATTCCGTATATTGTTGACTTCGGGCATCTGTTCAGCAAACCGTTGCAATAGTCAACTCGACTGACCACGAATGCATTGATTGATGATTTTGTTGTGTCCAAATCAAGGGAAGCTTTTATTCGGCCAAGCTGCCAAAGCTGAAAAAGGTAATCCCTTACCAGATTACTCATATGCTAATGCATGTTTAATGTACTATCCAACCAAAAACCTAAATTCCTTACCACACCAGAGAATGGCACATTCACCGACCCAAATCTCATGGCGTCCACATCAGTTTTTGAGAGCTGTTGTCTGGTTCCGATCAACATTACCTGTGTTTTATCCTCATTTAACTTCAATCTGTATGCACCCAGCCAACTTTTTAAGCACATTATTTTTTCTGATACTAATTCAACCATCGACTGCACATCCGCACTAATGATAATCTGTATATCATAAGCATATGAATACACAAGCAGATCACAAGCAGTTTCAGCATCTTTGCTACTCCCGAAGTGTATAGGAAGAAAAGGAGTAGGCCCAACAATGAACCCTGAGAAACTCCATTATTTATCTCCATCGCTGTCGATGCTTGTAAGTTCTTTTGCAAACAAATGATGACAACCAACCAAGCACCTTGATTTTCAGACCAAACTAATTCTTCAAAACATGATGCAGCACGTCATGATTGACACAGTCGAAAGCTGCACTCATGTCCAAAAGAGACACTTTTTTCTTATCAATAGCTTCATACGCATCTACCATCAGACGAGTTAGTGCTGTTTCAGTCGAATGATGCTTTCCGTAGGCAGATTGTGCATACGGCATTAAGTTCTGTTTATCTAAGTGGTGCACCATTCGTCGTACAACCACTCTTTCGTCACCAGGTCGTTGACGGTGACTGCATTATAATTTTGTAAACTTCTTCAGTGCAAGGTTAAAATTTGTCCAACACTATAACAGCTAACTCTTCGATTACCGGAAAATCATAATGCCGAGCCGCTGCCATTACTTTATCAACTTTGTCTTCAAAGTATTTAAGAAAATTTTCAGATGTAAGTTTCGCCGTTTTTGATTTTGACATATTTACATTATGATTCATCATTTTGTTCACATGACGCCAAAGCTGAGAAGGATTGTTTTGCAAGAAGCTATCTGATTTTACCAACAACAATTTTTCTTGTCTATCAGCAACATTTTCCTGTCTTTTAGAGCATCATAGCAATTTTTTTCTATCATCATCACATCTATCTTTGTCTTACGATATTCCTTTTCTAACTTCTTACACCGTCGTCTAGTCTGAACACAATCTTCATCAAACCAAGGAGTTACCTGACACAATTTACATTACACCTTCTTAATTGGTGCATATTTATCTGCCAAACGTCGTAACTTCGTCACATAGCATTTCATCAAGTCGTCAGCGCAGGCATCATCAGTTGGGGGCACAGCAAGCGATGCCGTCTTTAGAGGTCTACGCGGGAACACAATTCTGTTCCCTCACCTGCCCCTTCTGAAAATGACTTTCACCTCACCCCCACGCATTCCCTCACTAGTCTTCCCTCACCCGCACCCATTCCCCCACATGTCTTCCCTCACCCGCACTCATTCCCTCACAAATCCTCATTTTCCCGCACTCATTCTCTCAATAATTATATCATTATTAACAAAGACAATAAAGTATCCTTACTCAGAGTATTATGTAGTACATTCCATGTACAATTTTTATTATAAGAACAATCAAAAATACTGGTTAATAACAGTTAGTGTTTTAGTAAATTGTTTGTAAATTTTATACCACTCCTTGACTGTTGAGAAAAAGCAGCTGATCAACAGATTCTGATTTACCAAATACGTTATCCGTTGACTTTCGGAAGATATTAACTTGTTGACTGCCGATTTGTCCATATTTACCAAACTGCTAACACGACGGTTGTCGTCGAAATAAAAACAAAATGAAAATAGAACTCGCTGATCACGTATTTATCTCTGTAAACAGCTGATAAAGACAGATTCTGTATTCAAGCTGCATACTTAATATAATTGGTCACGTGTCCTTTTGTGTTATCACAATGAATATTATTTATTATAATAAATAAAAACAAAATGAAAATAGAACTCGCTGATCACGTATTTATCTCTGTAAACAGCTGATAAAGACAGATTCTGTATTCAAGCTGCATACTTAATATAATTGGTCACGTGTCCTTTTGTGTTATCACAATGAATATTATTTTGCATAATGCATATGCATCTGTGAGCTTGCTTAGCTTTAAACTTAGTAATAATAATCTAACTTTATCAATTGCGTTGTTGTTCAAGCTATGAAGTTTCTCATTAATTTTGGAACTTCGCCATCAAAGTCAAGTCAACTGCGGTTTTCCCTCTAAAATTTTTCCCGTCCCACGGTACTTCCCGCACGAAAAATATCCGCCCGGCGGTTTTCCCTCGCGTTTCATTCCCGCCCCGCGAATTCCTCTCCAACTTCTGTTCCCAACCCTCAGTTTTCCCGCGGGTATTTGCGGGAAAATTTGCGCGAAGTTTTCCATGTAGACCTCTAGTCGTCATCAAGGAACTCCGAAATGCAGCTTTGTCATATCTCTTCCAACATCGTACTAATTTTGTTATTATGTGTGGTTTAGCTTTGCGCATGGGCAACAGAAACGTCACCAGCGCATAGTCTAAAAATTCTCCTGCTGTTTCCACAGTGATAACCGTAATCTCGTAACCCGATTTAGCGGCCACAAAATCCAATGTTCCATGCTTAACGTGAGTTTACTGTGCACGAACCTGACCATATCGAATGTTTATTATTATTATTATTATTCTTTTAAAATCAGGATCTGACAGAGGCAAAAATTGTTACAGCATGCAAGGCAGTAGTACAAAATTAAACAAATAAGTAAGTAAATAATTAAAAAACGGAGAAAGAAAAACGTTTTTACATGAAAAATAAAACAAAATAGAATAAAATAAATAATAATAAAATAAATAGAATAAAATAAAATAAATTGACAATAAAATGAAGTAATGGCATAAAAACGCAAATTAATAAACTAAATGATGACTTAGTGAGTTAGTGTGGTGATCGATAAATAAAAAAAAACTAGTTGTGAATGATAAAGTTTTGTTAAATAAAAACAAGTTTTGTAGATGATAAAGTTTTATTGAGCGTTATTATGTTTGAGATGTCTTGTAATGAGTCTTCCTGATATGTAGATTGAGTGGCGACTTGATAGTTATGTTTGCGCTGACGAATGTTGTGTGTTGTAGTTTTGATTGGTGGTAGTAGAGGATGGATGACGTGGTTGTTGTTATTTTCTACTTTTTTGAACAGTCTTGAATTGAGTATGTTAAATATCTGAGTGACAGTAGGATATGATGCAGGTAGATAGTTGAAGCGGATTAGTTTTTTGATGAGAGATTGTAGTTGCTGAAGTTGTTGTTGTGTAGCAAAACCAGACCAGGAGGGAGCTGCATATTTGATGCGTGAGATTATGAGTGATTCAGTAATGTCGAATAATTTGATGCTTCTGAGACCATGTGAGCGGAGTGTTGTGAGTGTGTGAAATGTTTGAAAGCTTTTTGTGATGATGTGATTGATGAGTGGTGCTATATTAAGTGTGGAGGTGAATGTGATGCCTAATATTTTTAATTGACTTGTGCGAGTGATTGATGGGTGTTCTGAAGGTAATGTTATTTTCTTACGGCTATTGTGAATGATGAGTTCAAATGATTTATTGAGATTAAGTGACAGATTGCATTGTTTTGACCATGTAATTGATGAGTCGAGTTCTGATTGGATGGTGTTTGAGTTAGATGATGGGATGATAAGGTAGATGTCGTCAGCGTATTTGATGATGTGATTAGAGCTATGAAAAGTTTTGAGAGTATAAGCATTGATGATAAATGTAGATGGTCTAAAGACAGAACCTTGAACTACGCTAGAGTTAATAGGTAGAGTAGATGAAAGAGTAGAGCAAATGAAAGTAGATTGATTCCTATTGGAAAGAAATTTTTATTTTAATATTGCAATATATTGCCAGGTAGAGGGTAGTGGAAGAGAGGCTAACTTATTTGAAAATGAGAAGTGATTGAAAGCGTCAAAAGCTTTAGAAAAGTCGAGAGCAATAAGATGAACATAATTAATATTTTTAATGAAAGATGTTATTGTGGAAGTAAGAGAAATGATGGCAGATGTAGATGAACCTGTAGGGCGAAATGAAAACTGATCTTGTAATAGTGGTTTGATGGATGGATGGTTGAAACATGGATAAATGACTGACCTAATGATGATTTTTTCTAGAATACGTGAAATTATAGGAGTGATAGGGCGATAATCTATTGGTGACGATGGATATTTTGTTTTAGGAATTGGATGAATTGTGCTGGATTTCCATTGTGATGGGATGAATGAATGTTTTAAGCAGTGATTGTAGAGTAAACTTAATATGCTAGAGATGAATGGGGCAATGATTTGTAGAAACCATGCTGGTAGACTGTCTGGACCTGTACCGGATAGACAGGCTTTTGTTAGCATGTGCAGAACGGAATATTGGGTTAATTGTTGATGTTGATGACGAATATTGATTGTTGTTGCTTTTGTTGGTGAAATTTTGTAAGACGGGTCAGTTGACATAAAGACAAAGTGGGTTTTGATTGTGTTGGCATCAATTTGCTGTGAGGTTGACGTGTTGAATGATATGTCAGAGCCTCTAATCTTTTTGGCTTGGTCCCACATTACTTGTTAGTGAAAGTTTTTGAGTTGAAGCTGATGATTAGTTTGTTGATGTATTTGGTGATGGCTTTGAGGATGGATTCTGATCTCATGAATTTATTTTTTTGGCGAAATAGATATTTGATGATTGGGTTGATGATCTGATCGTGATGTTTGATGTTGGGTAGTACGTGTTGTAAGTTGAGTTGATGATTTTATAAAATTTAGCAAATCAGTGTTGCAAAAAATTGTCAATAGAGTTAGTTCTGGACGTAATTTCGTTAATATTGTTATTGCTATTATTATTATTTTTATTATTATTATCATCATCATTGGCACCATTGTTAATATTATTATTATTGTTACAAGTATTATTACTATTAGTAGGACTATTATTATCATTGATATTTTTAATATTATCAAAATTAATAGAATTATTATTATAAATTACTGGTAGAGTATTGTTGGTGGTAGTGATGTTGAAGTTCGAAGATATTATTGAAATCAATGTTGTTGAGATGTTGAAGGCAAGCACTACTCTGTAAAGGATGATGAGTTAGTTGATAGAGGTGGAAGAGCAGCAACCACCCTAAGATGATGAGTTGAAACGTGTGACCTATAAGTGTGAATGATGTCCAGGTTTACATTAATCCCATATATTCTGTCAAGAAGGTTTAGACATTGGTGGGTGGGACCCCAGAATATAGGGTGTAGATCTGTTTGAAGAATGGAATGATGGTCGAGTTTATTGAAGTTACTCGTAGTGATGAGTTTTGAGTCGCTCCCCAACGCAGTGTTAGAGAGTTCATCGATGTAACCCTTCAAGGTGGAAGCTTCGTATGATGGATGATTTGGTGGATGATAGGTGGCGCAGATGAAGTATGGTTCACTGTCAATAATGCACTTGAGACAAAGGGTTTCTAATGCATCATTAATAACATGAGGCGAAACCATGTGAATTTGAGATGAGATGGATGACTTCAAATAGATAACAACGCCTCCTCTACGCCGCCTGCCAAGGCGGTCTTTTCTGAAGGGTGTGTAGCCATCTATTGCGATCAAACCATCAGGATGATCTGGCCTAAGCCATGACTCGGTAATGATGATGTCAGGGTGGAGATGATACACATCACCTCTCAAATTGAAATCCTCGATAGCAACGCCAAAGTAATATACCAGAACAGCAACTACACGCATTTTAAAATTGCAGAAGCAGTCCTAATTGACATCAATAAACCAAAAATAAATATACAACAAAAAATGACAACCTCACTTCCAACCCTAGCATTGTAAATAGTGACAAAGAAAAATATGATGCTATCGATGACGATAAACTCACTTCCAACCCGGCGCTTAACCAACAAAGAAAACAAAGAAGTAATAAAAACTAGCATTGTAAATAGTGACAAAGAAGATTATGATGCTATCGATGAAGAAAAGGAGACCAAAGAGGATGACCAGCCAATAAGGAAACCTGACACCTAATTTTCATCTAAGTTCATTTTGACAAAGTTAATATTTCCTTATATAAACAGCAAGAAGCACTGATGATGATTCATTCGATGATGATTCAATTATGGCCTTATTTGCAGCATGAATTTGGAAAATAAGTTTATTTTGAATTTTAATAAACTAAACGTTCACCAAAAAACTTTAGTGAGAAAAATTGAAAAAACGAACTACAAACATATTAACGCCAAACATTCGGTAGAATTGATAGAATGTTGTAAATATATATATATATATATATATATATATATATATATATATATATATATATTTATATTTATATTTATATATATATAGTATTTTAATTATTGAATTACATTAAAACATCATAAGAACAACGTGTGCTGTTGCTATAATTCCAACTATAACTCGTCCTTCCTGCCGTCTAAAAATTTAAGTTTGATTCCGCCACCTCACGAACAATTTTAATTGCACAAAATAGAAATGATAATACAAAAAATGTTGCTCTGACATTGATTTCTAAACGGTACTGCATTTTGTATTTCTATTTGTCAAATTCAACCTCGATCGCTTTTTAAACAACATTTTCTGATAATATAGTCAGTGACAATAAAAGAACCTCTCATTTTGTAGAACTAAAACGTTATTTAGTGTGAATGCATTTCTACACGATGCCTGTCAACTCCAAACCGACCATCGAGAACATTATTTCTGGACAACACACAGCTCGGGGTATACTTGTAAAAAGTCTGTAGCAAATTTACAAGCTCACAGGCTACAAAATAACAACCGCATAGCGTCTTTTTTGATAGTCAGTTCAGGCAATCCAGATCGTCAAATAAAGTTTGCAGCAGTGTGACGGTGTGATCTGCCTGGTGTAAAGCGGATCTGTTTTAGCGGCACTGGTACTGGTAGAGTAGCAAAAAACGCGAATAAACACTTCGCTTAAGAATGACAGCAGTTTAGTACCTCTAAGACCATCACTAAAATTTGACACTCAAATGATGACTCAGTACTAGAAGATTCACCTAATTTAAAGATATTCTGATAGATGTTACAAGGGCTTGGCGCCTTATTTTTTCAAAATCCTAAAAACCAGGACCATTTCAAATACAAAGAAGATTTAGCACTGATTTAAGGAATTGCAGTAATAAAGTTAGCAAATTCTATTCATCACAAAATCGCACGTCATTTCCCATATCGTATATGCAGCTTCTTCTTGGTCCGTCTTTGCTGCATATCAGATATACATTTTACCCTACTTTCACTCAAATAATCAATTAACTTAACTTAAGATTTAGATGGAAATAAATAAAAATTGTCATCTACCCTCTACTGTCGCCAATCAAAACTACCACCCACGATCTTTGCCAACGCAAATTTAAATACCAGTTAGGGATTGTTTACAACGTATATTTTGTACAGACAAACTTAATTGAAAAGAGCTCGAGGTGAAACTAAAAGAGAAAAGGTTGAAGTTGAGAGAGCAAACTCAAATAGAAAAAACAAATAGCACAAGAATCGAAACAAAAAATGTAAAAATCAGACTGATGAAATCTGATTAAAAAAAGATGAATAAAATCATCCACAAGCTGAGCACGAATGGATGCGATTGATCGAAAGAAATTCAGTGATAGATTCAAGTCGTTCAGTGACTCAATCAAAAATGTTTTGGGGAAATTGCCTCAGGATTCAAGTGAGTTGCGAATTTTTTTTGAACGTCCTAAAAATACATTTGATATTTACGGGGTTAATCAAAATATAGAGTGTCGGACTCTGGCTCCTCATAAAATTCAAACTTCAACTTTGGGTAAAAATTTCCGACTCTGACTCCCGACTCCGGGCTCCGACTCCAAGAAATATTTTTCCACTTTTGCATAATTTAAACTTTATTTAAAAATACTTTAGAACACACTTAAAACCAATTGTTTTTCTATTAAATTTACTTAATACATATGTTTTAAAACCTACTGAAAAAAATTATGCGATTTTTTTCACATTATTAGCATTTTTTAGTACTAAAGAAGATTGCATAAATATTTATCTTCTTACACGGTAAACTCTTAGCACTCCACGCTTATGTTCTAATATTGAAGACATTTAAATTTGACTCCGCTTTCATTATTATTCATGACCAACCGCTTTATTTTTTTTCAATTTGTAAATTTTTTAACTGAAGCGCTTCATTTTTTTCTATTTGAATTTTTAATGATATTCTAAATAATTATTTTTTATTTTAAAAAATGTTATAAACATCAGAACCATTTGTAATTTTATTTGCACATTATATTTTCATAGAAAAAAGAAAACAAAAGTATCTAATAATAATCAATAGTTAATAAAAAAATAAAAAAATGTTTCAAAATTTCAAACCGCGTAATAATGTCGAATATTTCCAGGGCTTTTTGGAACCGCTCTTTTCTATCTGCGATGGTGCGCAGCCACATAAATTCATCAAGGTATGATTGTACGTGAGCATCGGACGTACCATTCATTCTTTTAAATTTTTGTTTGGCGCATCGCCACAAATTCTCCACTCCATTTGTGTGCACTCCGTTTACGACCCGAAATGTAATGGAATGATTTACGGTTTGGTGGTTTAGACCTGTTACGGTTGTTATCCTGTTATAAGCAGCTCGTTGATCTGTCTAAACTGTTGTACCTAAAATTATTAAAATCGAACTGTATTTAATAACCAACCAAAATGAATTTTAAAACTTTACCCTTTATGGAACCAACCAGGCAGAACATATCGCCGTATCAATGGCAACAACGTGACAGCATCTCGTCTATCTACTTCCACCAGAAAGGCATCATTTGTTTGCAACTTAAAAACTTACTGCCTGATTAATTTTGTGACGCGGCACCTAAAGTTTCTACACCTCCACAAGTAGCCATCCGCCGTTGTTGTGCTTTATGCAAACTTTTCTTTTATTATTTTTGAAAAACAAACAAATGACAAACGAGAAAACTGTACAGCGTGCAAGGCAATAGTATAAAATGATAACGAAAAAGTTAACGGAGAAAAAATGTTTAAGCATGAAATGTTAAGTTTTATGTTTTCTTTTAAAACATTATGATTTATGATATACATTTATTTTCTTTGGACCAAATGTTCTTTGCTTTGTATGTAACTTCACTTTTCCTTTTCTGTTAAATTTTTTGTCTTTCAATTTGACCTTTTAATTAGAAGCAAAATATCGACTTTCAGAGAATGAAAAAGCACGTGTTTTCTCTTCACTTCAGTCTTCAAAAAAAATCTTCTGATATTTTTTTATTCTAAATTTTCTTCGTCAAATCAATTAATTAAGAAAAACGTTATCTGGGTCCCATAAAGATAATTCCTGATGCAATGGACGTAGTAAATGGCAAATTAAAAATTCCAGATGAATTAAACGATGACTCAAATTAAGATGAGATAGCAAAATATCAAACTGCTTTGAACAGATTCAATAAAGCAGATTGTAGTGCTTTGATTATTCTGTCAACCAACATGACCGATGAAACGTATGAAAAAGTTCGTTCATTCAGTAATGCCAGAGATGTTTGGTTAAAACTTCACAGATTGTATGATGAAGTTAATGAAGATAAAGCATACAACTTATGCATGAAGTTCTTTAGCTATAAAATGGATGAAAGTGATGATGTTGTCACTCATGTTACAAAACTCAAGAATCTTTGGAAAGATTTGAAGGTTGAGTTAGGAAAAGATGAAAACAGTGACTTGTTGCTGATGTGTCAGATGATTGAAACTCTGCCAGAAAAATATATTTCTTTTGCTGCAAGTTGGAGATTGTTGAACAAAACTGAAAGAACAGTCGAAACACTCACAGATCAATTGTGTAGCTATGAGAGACCTTTGGAAAGCAAAACTGAAGGTATTAAAGTATTATTTGTCAAAGCAACAACTAAATGGTCATCTCAAGACATGAAAGGCGAAAGGTCAGAAACAAGATAAATTTGTCAGCAAACCAAAGCAGCTGATATGTCATTATTGCAAATTTCCAGGTCACATTGTAAGAAATTGTGAAAAATGGCATTCTGATGGTAGACCAGCAAAACCAAGAAATAACAATCTACGCGATGAAAATAAGTCACTAGTTGTTATGGAATCAAATGTTTTTGCAATTAATGAGTCAGCGTACACTGATGAATGGTTTTTGACAATGGTGCAACGTGTCATCTAATTTTTTGAAGAAACATATTTCAAAGTTTTGAAAAATTTTCTCAACCGAGTAAATTATATGTTGCAAATGGTGATGCTGTAGAAGCTTTTGGAAAAGGAATTATTCATCTTCAAGTGAAAGTTAATAATAAATGACAAACTGTTAAACTCACAGATGTCTGGTATGTGCCAAAAGTAAAAAGAAGTTTGTTCTCAGTACTTGCAACTCAAGATAAAAACAGAAATAGCTCTTTTGTTTCAACTTCAAGAAATTTTCATCTACTTATTGACAATGTGATAAGTGTTGTTGGAATAAGAAACAACAATGGAAGTTTGTTCAAACTTGTTGCAAAAACTGTTAGACCGTTGAATTCTGAAGTCGAAGTTAACTTTGTCAATGATCAAGATGCATTGCAGTTATACCATGAACGAATGGGACATCAGAATAAGAAACGTGTTAAAATGCATTGATCAAGAGATGTTATTTTTGATAAGAAGGTTGTCAAACCAAATTCAGTGATTTTGCAAGAAGAATGTTGTTCAGATGATACAGTTTCGATTGATGTTGAAATCAAAGATGAAAATAAAGAAACTTTGATTAAAAAAAATATTTCAACAGATGAAGATGTTCACAACCGTTGTTCAGTTTCATTTGATGAAGAAGATCAATCTGACTGTTGTAATCAAAAGACCAAAGGTATGATTTAACATGACAGGAATAATATCAAAAAGCCATTTTGTTATGATCCTTTTGCTATGTCTGCATTATGTGATGTACTTGAACCAGAGAGCTACAAAGATGCCATTCAAAGTGATGAAAAAGTTAATGGTTTAAAGCCATGAACAGTGAAATGAAATCATTAGAGGAAAATCAAACGTGGGATTTGGTAAGTCTTCCAAAAGGTCATAAGGTAATACCATGCAAATGGTTTTACAAGGTAAACACAATCCAGATGGTTTTGTTGAACGTTTTAAAGCCAGGCTAGTGGTAAAAGGTTTTTCTCAGAAAAAGAGAATTGACTATGAAGATTCCCTTGTGAAGACTGAAGTGAAGAGAAATAAACAAGTCAAGAACGTTGCTAAGTTTATTTCTCTTTTTTTAATGTCTTTCAATATTATATCAATTAATTAAACGATCTACGTGACAAGAAATTTAACAGGTTATGGGAATTAATTAAACGATCTACGTGACAAGAAATTTAACAGGTTATAGGACCCAGATAACGTTTTTCTTAATTAATTGATTTGTAGAAGAAAATTTAGAATAAAGAAATATCGTAAGATTTTTTTTTTGAAGACTGAAGTGAAGAGAAAGTCGTTCTCTGAAAGTCGATATTTTTCTTCTAATTAAAAGGTCAAATTGAAAGACA